TTAGGTACACAATACTACGGCAAAGGCCGCTGAGTGTTGCGTATTGGGAGCCTCACATACCTGCTCGCCAGTACCTTGCAGCTTATTGAGCAGTTCATCAACCGTCTTTACACCGAGCACCATGCGGCCCAAGACTACACGAGCTGGAGGAGGCAGGCGGGGAGGAGAAAACATGGAGTTTGAGGAGAAACACATCATGATAATTAACCTATTACCGAAAGGTACAGCGAGAGTGCCCCACCTTGATTATACAGTCAGGGAAAGGAAAATCGTATGGCAGAGTGCAACAAAGTTTGTATGGTGTGAGACCCTTAGTGTACTAAGGTCACACTTAGCAGGTTTTGTGTGGAGTTCGTGTCCGCTCGAAGGTAAATTGAGTACACATTGGCTACAGAACATGCAATGTGTGTACAACTACAAGGTTCGTGCCGTATGACCTACAGACAGGACACCACCTAATACGACTGCGAAAGGACGAGATGGTGGGGCGCTCTCGCGGTACTATACAGCAGTTGCCTGGAGATTGCCAGAGGCATGAAGCGCCGAGCTGTAATTTGTCCCGAGTGGTTTCTTGTCTTCTATATAGTGCTGAAACGATTACGTTTTTTCCTTAGTGGCTTAGCTGATACCATAACGATCGGCTTATCGGCTAAACGATTATTTTTGTAATTACATCAGTACATGTACATTCTGTGAATTTCAACAAAATTACGAGTCCAACATCGCCAACGACGAAAAGTGGGCGCATAGATCCCGCCACAAGTCTGTCAGCTGTTCGGATTGACCAGACGAATACAGACAAGACAGAGGCATCTCACTGGTTGCAACCCAAGTGCTGATGGTGCCCTTCGCTTGTGACTTCGCTGACTCCGATGATGAAGTCAGGGAAGCCGGCCAGGAGTGCAGATCGGCGGATTTCGACGGATGAGCTGACTTGAGGCGCACAAACAAGTAACTAGTTGCTTTTCCTGTCTATGCTCAAAATAGGCCCAGACGCCAGGCCTAGCTCGTCGTCGAGCAAACTGGTTCGGGAACCGTCGACAGAACGGAAAACATGAAACTGAAGACCACTTTACTGTCTTTAGCTCAAGACTACTCGCACGTGGAGGGAACTCCAGCCCCTGCAGCTAGTGTAGACACATACTGAGCCTGCCCGTCCTGCATGCTGTATGTCAGAATAGTAGTCAGCTCAAAAGACGGCAACAGTGATCGCGCCGATGTTACTCAGATCGCGCTTGTACTTTATACGTACATCGATGTTGCAAGTGTACTGTCTGTCATGTACATATTCGTGTCGTAGACCCAGGTGCTCGAAGTCCGTACATGGTATCCTAAGTTCGTACGCCCATAATTTCATGTTCTGTTATTGTATTCGACTCAAATATTTTATGGAGGGGACAGTGTGGTATGTTCTCCTCGCGTACCAATTTTCAGGGATCTACGATAAGCAGAAGTCCCATACCACGCGAGTGGGTTTTCGAGTGTCCATACGAAATACAAATTGGGTTACATTTCATGCAAAAATCAACTTTGCCAAGACCGATTTCGAACGGACACAGCGTCAAACGGACCTTCACTCAATCATCAAGAGCCAGCTTAGAGCTGACAATGGCCAGAGGAGAAGAATTTACAGAGAACCACCAATCCTTGCAGAAAGGTGGACACTCCTGGCATCTCCACCACTGTTTTCCCGCGGTTTTCACAGCGCAGCTGCTTCTTCTCTGAGCCGACTAAAACAGCTTGCATTTCGGCAACAAACTACGCTTTTGCAAGAAATACTGGTGGAGGCACATGCCAAACATATCCCTTCGGTGCTTTCGTCGTAACCGATGGATTGCTAGTTAGCAATTAGCGCAATATGTGCGTATTTCGAGTCACCTCTGATCAGTACGGACTTAGAGTACCCTCTGCGACACCAAAATTTGATATGAAAAATCAGCGAACTCCAGAGAAACAGATCGGATCGAAAGATGGCCTGGTTCAATCGAGACTGGCCTCAGAACAAACTTGGACAAGATACCTTCCATCCACGAGCAGGATTCTGGCAAGTGATCATTGCTAGTGTGAGTTTCAGCTCGGCAAACACACACTGTAAAAGTGTACGGACTTCGAGCACCTGGGTCTACTCGCAACACTTTCGATGCATGCACGCTTTGTGCGACCCCCAAAAGGGGGGAAATCCCGTACCGAGCGTAAGTACCATTCTACTCGTTTAGCCGATAAAATCGAAATAACCGTTCGATCTATTTCTTATCGAGTAAGTAACGAGTAATCGATATAATCGTTTCAGCACTACTTCTATATCAAATCATACTGTAGGGGTTATGCGATTACATCATCAGTTGAGGTGCATTACATCATCAGTAGAGGTACATTACATCATCAGTAGAGGTGCATTACATCATCAGTAGAGGTGCTTTGGCAAAGTCGTGGCACAGCGATGCACTAGGGACTCGCTTAGCGACTCACATTAAGAAAAATGTGTCCACCTCAAACTATAGAGCTTGACGGAGGTCAAATTCTAATCCCAGGGAAAGAATTAGAAAAAAACCTCCATGCTCAACAGTAGTCTAGCCAATACTTACGCAATGCTGCGTCATTTTCCCGTAGGTATTTTCCATAAATAGCGTTGGTTGAAAACGACAGGCCATGCCGATTGAAGCCGAATGCATTTCCTGGCAGTATGCCCGCATACGCAAATGCTACAAAGTCTTCTTCGACAGTACCTATCAGAAACACAAACATACATACAGCCAAACAAAGGGACACCGGCACTACAGTGAAATGTGTCAAGGTGATTGCTCTGCCAAGGCGACCACCAGTCCAAAAAAGCCTACCACAACAGCCAGGACCAAAGGGATGTAATTCCCAGTCAAATAAATTGCGTTGCCGCTATGGAGTATGGTGTTGTGATGTGGGCCAAGAGCGCAATGTAGAGTGGTGGAGTGTTTCAGAATTTCAAATGACCCCGGGTGAGAGATCACCTGTACAGTCATAGGACCACATTTTGAAAGTCCATTGAGCGGTCGACATAGACAGGTTTCCGCTTGTACTTCAATCGGGTTTGAAGAGACCCTAGTAGCGGGGACTGGAGCATGTACGTGTACACTTGCTCCACAGTGTAGAGTGCAGAGTGTAGACGGTGTAGAGTGCAGAGTTTAGACGGTGTAGAGTGCAGAGTGCAGAATGTAGACGGTGCAGAGTGCAGGGTGTAGACGGTGTAGAGTGCAGAGTGTAGAGTGAAGAGTGCAGAGTGCAGAGTGTAGACGGTGCAGAGTGCAGGGTGTGGACGGTGTAGAGTGCAGAGTGTAGAGTGCAGAGTGCAGAGTGTAGACGGTGTAGAGTGCAGAGTGTAGACGGTGCAGAGTGTAGACGGTGCAGAGTGTAGACGGTGCAGAGTGCAGAGTGTAGACGGTGCAGAGTGCGGAGTGCAGAGTGTAGACGGTGTAGAGTGCAGAGTGTAGAGTGCAGAGTGCAGAGTGTAGACGGTGTAGAGTGCAGAGTGTAGACGGTGCAGAGTGTAGACGGTGCAGAGTGTAGACGGTGTAGAGTGCAGAGTGTAGACGGTGTAGAGTGTAGAGTGCAGAGTGCAGAGTATAGACGGTGCAGAGTGTAGACGGTGCAGAGTGTAGAGTGCAGAGTGCAGAGTGTAAACGGTGTAGAGTGCAGAGTGCAGAGTGTAGACGGTGTAGAGTGCAGAGTGTAGAGTGCAGAGTGCAGAGTGTTGAGTGCAGAGTGTAGAGTGCAGAGTGTAGAGTGCAGAGTGTAGAGCGCAGAGTGTAGACGGTGCAGAGTGCAGAGTGTAGACGGTGTAGAGTGTAGACGGTGCAGAGTGTAGACGGTGTAGAGTGTAGAGTGCAGAGTGCAGAGTATAGACGGTGCAGAGTGTAGACGGTGCAGAGTGTAGAGTGTAGAGTGCAGAGTGTAGACGGTGCAGAGTGTAGACGGTGCAGAGTGCAGAGTGCAGAGTGTAGACGGTGTAGAGTGCAGAGTGTTGAGTGCAGAGTGTAGAGCGCAGAGTGTAGACGGTGCAGAGTGCAGAGTGTAGACGGTGTAGAGTGTAGAGTGCAGAGTGCAGAGTATAGACGGTGCAGAGTGTAGACGGTGCAGAGTGTAGAGTGCAGAGTGCAGAGTGCAGAGTGTAGACGGTGCAGAGTGCAGAGTGTAGACGGTGTAGAGTGCAGAGTGTAGAGTGCAGAGTGCAGAATGTAGACGGTGCAGAGTGCAGGGTGTGGACGGTGTAGAGTGCAGAGTGTAGAGTGCAGAGTTCAGAGTGTAGACGGTGTAGAGTGCAGAGTGTAGACGGTGCAGAGTGCGGAGTGCAGAGTGTAGACGGTGTAGAGTGCAGAGTGCAGAGTGTAGACGGTGTAGAGTGCAGAGTGTAGAGTGCAGAGTGTAGAGTGCAGAGTGCAGAGTGCAGAGTGTAGACGGTGTAGAGTGCAGAGTGTAGACGGTGCAGAGTGTAGACGGTGCAGAGTGCAGAGTGTAGACGGTGCAGAGTGCGGAGTGCAGAGTGTAGACGGTGTAGAGTGCAGAGTGCAGAGTGTAGACGGTGTAGAGTGCAGAGTGTAGAGTGCAGAGTGTAGAGTGCAGAGTGCAGAGTGCAGAGTGTAGACGGTGTAGAGTGCAGAGTGTAGACGGTGCAGAGTGTAGACGGTGCAGAGTGTAGACGGTGTAGAGTGCAGAGTGTAGACGGTGTAGAGTGCAGAGTGTAGACGGTGTAGAGTGTAGAGTGCAGAGTGCAGAGTATAGACGGTGCAGAGTGTAGACGGTGCAGAGTGTAGAGTGCAGAGTGCAGAGTGTAAACGGTGTAGAGTGCAGAGTGCAGAGTGCAGAGTGTAGACGGTGTAGAGTGCAGAGTGTAGAGTGCAGAGTGTAGAGCGCAGAGTGTAGACGGTGCAGAGTGCAGAGTGTAGACGGTGTAGAGTGTAGACGGTGCAGAGTGTAGACGGTGTAGAGTGTAGAGTGCAGAGTGCAGAGTATAGACGGTGCAGAGTGTAGACGGTGCAGAGTGTAGAGTGTAGAGTGCAGAGTGTAGACGGTGCAGAGTGTAGACGGTGCAGAGTGCAGAGTGCAGAGTGTAGACGGTGTAGAGTGCAGAGTGTAGAGTGCAGAGTGTTGAGTGCAGAGTGTAGACGGTGTAGAGTGCAGAGTGTAGAGTGCAGAGTGTAGAGCGCAGAGTGTAGACGGTGCAGAGTGCAGAGTGTAGACGGTGTAGAGTGTAGAGTGCAGAGTGCAGAGTATAGACGGTGCAGAGTGTAGACGGTGCAGAGTGTAGAGTGTAGAGTGCAGAGTGCAGAGTGTAAACGGTGTAGAGTGTAGAGTGCAGAGTGTAGACGGTGTAGAGTGCAGAGTGTAGAGTGTAGAGTGCAGAGTGCAGAGTATAGACGGTGCAGAGTGTAGACGGTGCAGAGTGTAGAGTGTAGAGTGCAGAGTGCAGAGTGCAGAGTGTAAACGGTGTAGAGTGCAGAGTGCAGAGTGCAGAGTGCAGAGTGTAGACGGTGTAGAGTGCAGAGTGTAGAGTGCAGAGTGTAGAGCGCAGAGTGTAAACGGTGCAGAGTGCAGAGTGTAGACGGTGTAGAGTGTAGAGTGCAGAGTGCAGAGTATAGACGGTGCAGAGTGTAGACGGTGCAGAGTGTAGAGTGTAGAGTGCAGAGTGCAGAGTGTAAACGGTGTAGAGTGCAGAGTGCAGAGTGCAGAGTGTAGACGGTGTAGAGTGCAGAGTGCAGAGTGTAGACGGTGTAGAGGGCAGAGTGTAGAGTGCAGAGTGCAGAGTGTTGGGTGCAGAGTGTAGACGGTGTAGAGTGCAGAGTGTAGAGTGCAGAGTGTAGAGCGCAGAGTGTAGACGGTGCAGAGTGCAGAGTGTAGACGGTGTAGAGTGTAGAGTGCAGAGTGCAGAGTGCAGAGTATAGACGGTGCAGAGTGTAGACGGTGCAGAGTGTAGAGTGTAGAGTGCAGAGTGCAGAGTGTAAACGGTGTAGAGTGCAGAGTGCAGAGTGCAGAGTGCAGAGTGTAGACGGTGTAGAGTGCAGAGTGTAGAGTGCAGAGTGTAGACGGTGCAGAGTGCAGAGTGTAGACGGTGTAGAGTGCAGAGTGTAGAGTGCAGAGTGCAGAATGTAGACGGTGCAGAGTGCAGGGTGTAGACGGTGTAAAGTGCAGAGTGTAGAGTGAAGAGTGCAGGGTGTGGACGGTGTAGAGTGCAGAGTGTAGAGTGAAGAGTGCAGAGTGTAGACGGTGCAGAGTGCAGAGTGTAGACGGTGTAGAGTGCAGAGTGTAGACGGTGCAGAGTGGAGACGGTGCAGAGTGTAGACGGTGCAGAGTGCAGAGTGTAGACGGTGCAGAGTGCGGAGTGCAGAGTGTAGACGGTGTAGAGTGCAGAGTGCAGAGTGTAGACGGTGTAGAGTGCAGAGTGTAGAGTGCAGAGTGCAGAGTGTAGACGGTGTAGAGTGCAGAGTGTAGACGGTGCAGAGTGTAGACGGTGCAGAGTGTAGACGGTGTAGAGTGCAGAGTGTAGACGGTGTAGAGTGTAGAGTGCAGAGTGCAGAGTATAGACGGTGCAGAGTGTAGACGGTGCAGAGTGTAGAGTGCAGAGTGCAGAGTGTAAACGGTGTAGAGTGCAGAGTGCAGAGTGCAGAGTGTAGACGGTGTAGAGTGCAGAGTGTAGAGTGCAGAGTGTTGAGTGCAGAGTGTAGACGGTGTAGAGTGCAGAGTGTAGAGCGCAGAGTGTAGACGGTGCAGAGTGCAGAGTGTAGACGGTGTAGAGTGTAGACGGTGCAGAGTGTAGACGGTGTAGAGTGTAGAGTGCAGAGTGCAGAGTATAGACGGTGCAGAGTGTAGACGGTGCAGAGTGTAGAGTGTAGAGTGCAGAGGGTAGACGGTGCAGAGTGTAGACGGTGCAGAGTGCAGAGTGTAGACGGTGTAGAGTGCAGAGTGTAGAGTGCAGAGTGTTGAGTGCAGAGTGTAGAGCGCAGAGTGTAGAGTGCAGAGTGTAGAGCGCAGAGTGTAGACGGTGCAGAGTGCAGAGTGTAGACGGTGTAGAGTGTAGAGTGCAGAGTGCAGAGTATAGACGGTGCAGAGTGTAGACGGTGCAGAGTGTAGAGTGTAGAGTGCAGAGTGCAGAGTGTAAACGGTGTAGAGTGTAGAGTGCAGAGTGTAGACGGTGTAGAGTGCAGAGTGTAGAGTGTAGAGTGCAGAGTGCAGAGTGTAAACGGTGTAGAGTGCAGAGTGCAGAGTGCAGAGTGCAGAGTGTAGACGGCGTAGAGTGCAGAGTGTAGAGTGCAGAGTGTAGAGCGCAGAGTGTAAACGGTGCAGAGTGCAGAGTGTAGACGGTGTAGAGTGTAGAGTGCAGAGTGCAGAGTATAGACGGTGCAGAGTGTAGACGGTGCAGAGTGTAGAGTGTAGAGTGCAGAGTGCAGAGTGTAAACGGTGTAGAGTGCAGAGTGCAGAGTGCAGAGTGTAGACGGTGTAGAGTGCAGAGTGCAGAGTGCAGAGTGCAGAGTGTAGACGGTGTAGAGTGCAGAGTGTAGAGTGCAGAGTGCAGAGTGTTGGGTGCAGAGTGTAGACGGTGTAGAGTGCAGAGTGTAGAGTGCAGAGTGTAGAGCGCAGAGTGTAGACGGTGCAGAGTGTAGACGGTGCAGAGTGTAGACGGTGTAGAGTGCAGAGTGTAGACGGTGTAGAGTGTAGAGTGCAGAGTGCAGAGTATAGACGGTGCAGAGTGTAGACGGTGCAGAGTGTAGAGTGCAGAGTGCAGAGTGTAAACGGTGTAGAGTGCAGAGTGCAGAGTGCAGAGTGCAGAGTGTAGACGGTGTAGAGTGCAGAGTGCAGAGTGCAGAGTGTAGACGGTGTAGAGTCCAGAGTGTAGTGTACAATGTGGAGTGGTTGAAAATGAAAATCGAGCCTCATCAACATCTCCTGTCTGACTCTACATTTCAGGACCGGCGGAAGCTGTTTTTGTTTTTGGTTGGTCCAGCCCTACCCCGGCCTTTCAGGCATTGTGTATATCATGATATGGAGAGTATACATAGCAGACTCAACTGAGAGTATACATGTGCACATGACCTCCTCAGCAGTAAACACACGTTTGTGGCCAAACATTTGGTCCGGCCATGGCCTGACCAACCGGACTGGTTCCGCCGTCCCCGCATTGAAGTATACATTAAGTCTGCCTCGCACTAGCACGCAATGCAGTGCACATGTGTAGAGAGTAGTTTGCTGCCATCCTACCGTCATTGCCGGTGATTTCAGCGTGAATAAGATAGGACGTGTTCACAGCGCTGTCAGGCCCGTCTTCGTTGTGTGCACTCAAAACCTGTCGGGCCAAACAATCAACAACAACAGTGAACACTTGCTTGCCATGCTACAGTTAATACCATGGAACTCCAATGAAGCAATGGCATGTTCACCAAGTCTAAGGCGACGAAAAACATAAATCATTTGCACTTCAAATTCCCTTATTTCCTTCCCATGCAATATCCTTCATATCAGACATGTTCCTTCCCAACACAAGCAAATAACAATATAACGCACTTCAGTATCTTCCAGTAAACAAAATCACAGTCAGCACTTCCGCTGCATAGCTCGCTGGGCATCCCATTGCTGTGCAAGTTGCTAATCCCTTCCCCTTTTGTGTACGCGCTTTTTATTTCATTTCCTTTTTGAAACCACTCGATTGCCTCTTTACTAGGGTTTTAGGCCAGTGATATTGCCATGAAATGAACATCATACCATGTATGAAATCAAGTTGTGGCCAATGCTCCTTTCCCAACCACAGCCAATGTTCATATTCAGGGTTCTAACCAGGTCGAAATAGTAGGGGGGGGGGGGGGGAGAAGTTGCGGGCAGAGTAAGCAGTTACCCTGTAACCTATTTTCCATTCACCGAAAATTGTCTTGCCATGCAAAAGCAACGTACGGAGGCACCCCCCCCCCCCCTCCCCCGACTTCACCCCAGACACGTGTGCCTTTATGAACCCTCCGTTAGTGACTATTGATCGCATTCTCGTCGAATTGCCGGAAAACGCACATACATCGACAAAAGAGTAGGGGGCTGCCCTCTGATCTGGGGAATGACCCAATGGCCAGAAGTCGAAATGTTTGTGGGAAACGGTAAAGGCAGACGATGACTGTCGGAAACACTTCCATCCAAAAACAGGAAAGCGGGAACAATGGTGCGCAAAGACCAAGCATCACACCAAATGAACCACCCCGAAATCACCACTGTACACGAGTTGCCTCTCCGTATGTCGCTCTGTTTGGTTTCGTAATGGCTCAGGCACCAAATCATAAATGTCCATTTGATTTTGCCTGTATTTCACCTGATGATAAGGCATGAAAGTATACTAGTGTGAAAATTCTCAAAATGTTCAAGAGCCTGAAGTGTGTCCTACTTCCAAGTATCATTGCATTCTTGCCTCCAAGGCAATTGTGCACCAAATCATCATGGTCCTTTTGGAAGGAATGAGCAGAAAAGGAGAGATGTGATAGAAATCCTCCGGCGGATAGGTATGGATAAACGAACGATCATGCGAACAACGGGCCACAAGAAAACGCAGGTGAGAAACGAAGTACAGAAAGTACAGAAAGACTAGCCACAACGGTGGCACTGCTTCCAGTGTGAGAGACCCAACTGTAATCAATAAATCGTATTGCGTACTTTGCCTCCTTCATTACAGGTGTCTAACACGATCACAAAGCTGTCCAATGGCCAACCTGTGTCGCGCCGACCTGGCAGCGGGTGACCGATTATGCTGTCACCTTTGGCCAAACGGTTCATTACAGAATACGTGCAAGATGTTTCCTACACTTCTTGCGAGAACCTGAGTGCTGTGTTGTCAGATGCTGTCGTGGGAGGCGACCATGAGCATGCGAGCCCTCGGACTAGTAATCGAGTATTGGTCAATGATCTTCCGCATCGATTACTGCTGCCCACGGAGAAAGTTCCTCTTGACCGAACATCATCGGCACAACAGCGTGGTGTGGTCTCTGCTCCATTGTGACGATGATTTTACGCACACCATATTCGTCGATGAGGCATGTGTTGTGTTGGGGCCGGATGGTCGGATTGCATTCTGGCACCCAAAGAATGCTATACCCGCCATCGAGAATCGCCTTTTTCCGCCCAAAGTCCACATCCTCGCGGCTGTATCGGATTTGGGTGTAGTTGGCGACGCCGTTTTCGCTGACCGGTAGAACGCTGACACTGCGTGCGACGCAATGGCTCAGCAGGTTGTGCCAGCAGCGTTTGCTCTTTTCGGCAACGACTTCCAAATCCAAATGGACAATGCCACCTCACATACGGCCCTCCATACGCGCGAGTATCTCCTCGCCAACGGCATGTCTGAGTTGCTTTTTCAACCATCCTGTTCACCCGACCTGAACCCGATTGAGAATGTCTGATGGCAACTGAAGCGAAAGTTAGCCAGACACGCATGTCAGGATGCAGACAACCTCCGTCAGGCGATTGCACTAGAGTGGGGAACCTGACACCAGAGCAAAGTGTCCCCTTTTACGACGTCCATGCCGAGCAGGATTGAGGCAGTCATCCACGCCGAGGGCGAACATACCCATTACTAATCTATTCTGTCCACTCTCCATATACTGTAACGCAGATTGAGTATTTTCGCTCCTGCTCTTGTAGTAGTTGAGCACTCTCATGCAGGGTAGTACCTTTGCTGTTCGCATTACGCAAAGCTCACTGACTTGTCAGTTTGCGCACTCTGGCAAGGTACGTTCGGGCCTGGTTTAAATCTGGCTTTGGAAATTTATTTTCATTGCTATCAGGTTCGGCCTCATTCTCTCTGTGCTGCGCTGATGAGTTCACAAAGAACGAAGCAGCATGCTGTCCGCAGATTGAGTATACTGTAAGACATGTTATTATACTTAGTATAATGAAGAAATGGCACTCGTTAAAAAAAAACGTTAGATTTACTTCCTCGTTATAATATGTACATGTCTTACAGTAGACACTAGCAATTGTTGCAGTTTTCCCATTGCTTTGGAGTAAGAAAGGCGCCTAGCGCCTACAGAGTTCCCGTGTGTGCGTTTCGTCCCATGGAGCAGCTTGTGCTTTCTAGGTTGAGCGGCTTTTCTCGGCTCAAGCGATTTCGCGAGTTGGCATGCCAGTGTTTGTAACTTGTGGTGTCAAGACGTGGACAGGTACTGAGGTAGCACCAGCGCCCTGACATGCTTGGATTTTAGAAATTGAGACTGGTTTGTGAAATTCAAAGTTTGCGATTCGGCTCCTCTCACAAACGTTGCAAGCACGTTTTCGTCTCAAACACAACCCATTGTTTAGGCCTGCTTATAGCTACTGTATCAGCAGAAATATTCGTCTGGGATTTAATTTCGTCTTTTTCGTCCAAGGAGCTTGTGGACTAAATTAAATGCCGGACTAATGTTGATTTGTCCAGCTTTTCAATACACTCTTACGATCCATGGACGAAATTTACAGCTGTAAAAACTCCCTTTCTTTGGAGTTGGATGAAATTATTCGGACTGACACAATTTTCTGCCTGTACAGCACTTGTACTTACCATATTTGGTTGCTGGAGTAACAAATCACTGCAAGATGTTATGGTGTCCAGTTCAAGCAGGATAATACCGATTTCAACGGAACAATTGTACAGGAATACCTAGAGTAAGACGATAGATAGAGAAAAGTGGACAACACGTCATGAGTCACGGCAAACCTCTTGTGAGTCTCACCAGTGACGCAAAGTAGCAACGGCCATTAAGATACCTCCAGGTCCTGCTAGGTCTACACTCGTCAGTACGACATCGGTTACAAGACAAACCTCACTAGTAGACCAACAATCCCAAATACCCTGACGCCTGAAATGCGTACATTCAAGTCCGGATCGTAAAATAGACTCGTTATAAGACAAACAATTAATTATTTGAACCCCTCCCCCAGGGTAGACCTGTACCAAAACAACCTTTAAAATCTCTCCACGTCCCATCACCAAACAAAATAAAGTTGCAGTTTGTATACATGGAGTTCAGTGACAGTAGAGCAGTGGGGCTGGCAGCAGCTGCAGCAGCTCTCCACTGACAGGACCCTGTGGCGGCACTGGAAGTAGCGGTAGAAAGCACACGACACCAACACCATACCTCCTCGTAGTCAATGCCACTGCCATCGGCAAGGCCTTTCATCTCGGCCACAACATTGGGATAGCGTTCTACGGCATCCTTCCATCGGTTGAGATGTGCTTGGCCAGTGCTGGACTTGGCAAACTCATGCAGCTCACTAAATGATTCTGACTTGTAGTAGGCCTCGGCTATTCGATCTTTGAACGCCTCGCCCTGCACACAGTACACCATACACCACATGGGCACACTGTTAGCATAAGAATACATGTTCTGTTTGAAGAACGCAATAGCCCAATTGATAGATAGATGTAATGGTTCAAGTGGAAGACTGTCGAACCTCGAAGCACCTCAAATCAACTCAACTCATCGCCACAAACTCCACATGGGGAAGCATACGCCTACCGTCTGGGAGGTGACCCCCCCCCCCCCCCCCCCACACACACACACACATAATGTATCATAGAAACTCCGCGTGGATAAGCCCTGGTGCTAAACTGATTCAAAAACAGTCATTGGACGGGCGTATACATGGGTATGACCTTTTAGGGCCGATGCAGAGATGTGCATCAGCAAAGAACATCAGAAAGCACTTGCACTGCTAAACCATCAGTACCGTGATTCGGGTACACAGCAGGAACATGAACTAAAACTACAGTCAACTTTGCGTATAACGACACTCGGCGGGGCATCAGAAAAGTGTCCTTATTCGCGAAGTGTCGTTATACCCGAAGTCTCATTATATGTATTACAGTTGGATGGGACTTTGCTCTGGGCATGGAAATTCTGTCGTTATTTGCGAATTGTCGTTATATCCGCAGTCGTTATTAGCAAAGTCGACTATAATCGCGTAACCTCTCTGCTGTCATTGTATTGTTATCCTCCTGCCATGCTCGCAGGTCATGGGTTCTCAACCATCTGGAGGTTGTAAGACTGTCGGACTTACATTGCAGGGGCGTCGGAAGGTATTTTAGTGTGGTACGGTCAGCCGTCTGAAGTACAATTTACTCGTGGGGGAGTGGTGGCTGAGCCGAAAATTTTGGAATTTTAGATCCCGGATCAGTGTATTCGGTTGATTCACGGGTATCTGGGGCAAAAAGTGGTACGGTCAATACCGTAGTGACCGTACCGTGTGCGACGCCCCTGCATTGTATTCCCTATATATACCGGAGGATGTACCCCGTGTGCTGGCAGTGCTCAACACCACGGAGGTAGAGTGTAATACAAAACAACAAGGACAGTCAAGGCTTGTTTACTGCTACTTCAAGTTTCATGCTCTCGCAATCATCAGGCAACTCTTGCCTGATGATTGCGAGAGCATGATATGAAGTAGCAGCAAACAAGCCTTGATTGTTCTGTATTCCCTATATAAAGTCTTAGGACTACTTTTACTTGGAATGCATTGAATCTAAGTACATGGGGCATGGCATACTTACATGCCTACTAACTAACTTGTTACTTGTTACTATGTGACCCCAGGCACTGCACACTTGAGCCAAATGAAGTGCAACATTCACAAGTGGACAATACCCGGCCTTGAGTTGAGTAGCTTGACATGCCTAAAACCAGGCTAACTCTCTACGGATGGCAGTGTCCATTGTTCTGAGGCCTGAACTGAACAACTACTTTGCCAGGACAAAACAATTATTATTATTGTTCTTTTACACAAGAGAGAGAGAGAGAGAGAGAGAGAGAGAGAGAGAGAGAGAGAGAGAGAGAGAGAGAGAGAGAGAGAGAGAGAGAGAGAGAGAGAGAGAGAGAGAGAGAGAGAGAGAGAGAGAGAGAGAGAGAGAGAGAGAGAGAGAGAGAGAGAGAGAGAGAGAGAGAGAGAGAGAGAGAGAGAGAGAGAGAGAGAGAGAGAGAGAGAGATTGGAAGCTGTGGCAACTCTGAGTTTTACATATACCTACGATCATCAGGCAACTTATTTTAAACAACCGGCAAGGCCGGAGACTTTCATTCAGCTGATCACTTTTAATATTATTTTGACGTTCGATCTCCTTTCATTTTCATAGTTCATACAATTCTCTTGAAAACCTATACATTGTTACATGTAGTCCGTACTCCGTAGTCACATAATCATTCCATTTGAAGGATGACGGCATAGCCATAGGACAGTCGTGTTGCCCTGTTTTATTCCCACAATGTACCGTTGATCCGCCCCAATGCCATGTCGCTTCCCAGCTGGGTTTTTACGATGTACAGCAATGTGGAAGATCAGACTCGATATGCTGGATAGTGCACATTTTCATCCTGCACTGGCACGTATTGCGTACAGCAGTGCATGTGTCGGCTCAACATCGTATTTCGTTGTACGCGCCAAAGTCGCTTTGCTGGCAGAAAATCGACAGGGGGCGGATCAAAGGTACTTTAGGGTAATCTCTTGTCCACAGGATCAAGTTTGCAACTCTAAATATTTGCATGTGTTCAGCTTCAAGTACTGATGTTATCTGAAGCAAATAATTGAAGGGTAGCCGGTAACCAATCAATAAAGGCATAACCAACCAATAAGGCATTGCCTTTGTCGATTGTTTAGCGACTGTCCTGTAGAGGCATATAATATGCGCATAGGCAATTCTGTAGTCAAAAAGCATAATAATTTTTTTATTTCGCTTCACCCTCTAGTAAAGACTAAGCATGTTGAGGGCCCCGAGCCAGCAGATCTCTCATTAGCAGCACACAATACCGGTAAGACACCATACTCCATAGGCACAGGCACAGGATGCACTCTGCTGCGTAGCTACCTGCCCAGCCAACACCTGCGTTGTTATAATTATAACGCTTGTTATACGTCGTTACAGAACGGGCTAATAAGAGTGCAGCCAAGGCGGAAATGTTTATTTTGGTAGTGGACGAAAGGCAGCAGTACAGACTGCAGCGCAGGACACCTACTGAGTGAGTACTCTACCTCCACTAGTCGATGACAAGCACTTCACATCTAGTACTGCCTAGTCTTTGTCCATTATTTTGCAGCAGAGCAAACAGCATGAAACTGTGCGGCCACAATCCTTACCACTTGACGTCCAACTTCGTAGTGGGATCCCGTTACTTTCAAGCAAGGAAGTCGAGCATCCTCCATCCTAGTGGACCGGCACAGCAGCGGAACAACGTGAACAACTAATTATATATATATTTAGCTCCGCTGCACGCTGCACACCAGCAAGAGAAACAGCGGCAGCACCAAGACGGACAGGATCTGGAACGAGCAGCAGCAGCAGCAGCAGCAGCGTCGTGAGCACACTAGCAACTAGTGGCGTGATACGTGTCACGTTCGTAGATAAACTCATTTCCCCTTTTTTTGTTCGGCGTTCCTCTTGGCTGACATCGAACACTAGCGCTCAATGAACCGTGGCATTGCAGGACTTGCTGTTAGCGCAGTCAACAGTGGAAATATCGCATGTGCGGATGGCGAGGCTTATCTCAAGGAAGTAAGTACAGTATAGCACGTTAGCCGAAGGGAAGTAATAATTTACATGCAATTACATGACAGCTAGGAGTAGTTGAAGGCTGGCGCGCCGGGACACGTGGATAGAATATGGGATTATGGGTTTGCAAAATATTTTATTTTGACACTTGGACAGACCGCATCTGTTCCAGGCCTGCAGGGCCTCGTGCACTAGCTCACCTGACTGGGTGATCATGGTGATGGCAGATAGGCACAGTCCACTCCCGGGGTGATGACGGATAGGCACAGTCCACTCCCAGGGTGATGGCGGATAGGCACACAGTCCACTCCCGGGGTGATGGCGGATAGGCACAGTCCAGCAGATAATTCTTTGCTACAACATCTTCAGAGCAACTTGCCTACAAAAGCACGTGCTCAAGCCAAGGAGCAGTTAGGCCCTATACTCAGTATAGCCTATAGCCTTAGGGTAGCTAGCCCTGTAGCTGTAACAACATGGTAAAGTCATATACTATAAATAAAAAAGCCGCGAATAGTATTTCCGTTACATGTATTTCCGAAGTGACGTGAAATTTCACGTCGAATTTGGCGTTAAACTCCAAATTTCGACGTGAGCTGCAGGTCACTCGCGTTGCTTTTTCGACGCGCGAGCCAAATAACGCGAGCTGAACTTTCGCGTCCCGACAGAAATAACGTACATCTTAACCTCTCTATTAAATACTATGGTATTTTGCGATTCTCTGGTACAATAATATGCTTCATAGTATAGTCAACTTCGCTAATAACGACTACGGATATAACGACAATTCGCGAATAACGACAGAATGTTCCCGCCCAGAGCAAAGTCCCATCCAACTGTAACCCATATAGTGAGACTTCGCGAATAACGACACTTTTCTGATGCCCCGCCGAGTGTCGTTATAAGCCAAGTTGACTGCAGTACTGACTGTAAAAGCAGAAACTTTCGGTGGTGTAATATTTTCGGTATTCTCCAAAATCGGCCGTTCGGTTGAGGGAAATTTTCGGTAAACCCGTTTTCCAGGTTCTAGTAAGTGTACTAGCACCGAAATTTGCGGAGCGTTTTATTTTCGGTAAAAATTTCAGCACCGAAAATATCGAAAAAAAATACAGTGGAGATCGGACATAACAACTTTGCATATAACAACAGATTAGCGACAAAATTCTGTTGCTCAAGTCGTTTAGAAGTCCTTTGTGAAAATCGGGTTTAGTGACAGATCGAATATAGTGACATTTTGCTCTCTCCCAAAGGAGTGTCGTTATATCCAATCTCCACTGTACAACACCACCGAAAATTTCTGCATTTACAGTAGCCGGAAAGTAACAATACACACTGTAGATCTACTCACTCGAGCTCTCTTGAATAGTAGATCTACAGTAGAGTCGCGCACCCAAGAACGTTGTTCCCAAGGGGTTAGCCTGGGACGTTCTTATTTTTCAGCAATCTGGCTGCGTTCTTATAGCACGTTCTTAGAAACAATCCGTACTGGATCATATGTATTCCACAAGCTGCCAGAAAACCAACACTGTCGTTCTTAGCTTTAGGCTGTGGCGTTCTTAGAATTTCAGGCTGGACGTTCTTGGGCTCCACGTTCTTCGGCACGCGACTCTATTGTACCCTGTATCGGCGCTATCTCGAGCCAATAATGAAAAAAATAGTATAGCCCTCTCTTCAGTGCCCCCCCCCCCCCCCCCTCCCCCGGGCTTGTACATGTAATCAAGCGCATGCGCAAGTATTGGTGTTGTTTTGCGAATGTTCTTGTCCATGCCATAGTGCACCGGTGATTTCAGGATCAAAATCGCAGTTCTTGTTGCAGTTGCTGTTGAGTTGTGCTAGTTCACAGTACACTTTAGCGGCTCTGTGTTTTTCTTTGCATTCTTTGCTTTTATGCAGGAGAACGTCACATGAAAAATAGTTCCCTCTCTTGGGCGGCCTCATCTTTGAGCATGGGGACTTGGACAAATACAGGCCAGGCGGAACCACTGATGCGGTTGGTCAGGCCATGGCCAATGTGTGTTTGCTGCTGAGAGGTCATGTTCACCACCAAGGTTTATGTCACTCTTGGTACCACTATACCCTGCACATCATACACAAAGTATGGAAGGCTAGGGGAGTATGGCCGACCAATCAAAAACTGCTTCCGTTGGTCCTGAAGCCGTGTCCAGCCAGGGGTGCTAATTAAGCGAGTACGGTACTTCTGCGTGCCAGTCTCCGAGTGTTGTGCTGCTTGTGCACGTGTGCTGAACACCAGGAGGAAACCCCTGTAGCTGTGAAGTTTAACTTTAAAAGTGGGTCACAGTGTGAGCAACACTGGCTCACACTCAGTCACTGCTTTTCAAAAATTCATTGAGGTTAAGTTCGTGAAAACTGCAGACAAGACAGCTGTCTGCAAAGGCTTCAAAGCGGGCCATGGTCTACCCGTGTACCTGGTGTACACCTGTCTGAGAGTGTCAGAAACACTCGTACGTACATGTGAATGTACATACACAATGTCATGCAAGTACCGTAGTTGTCTGTTTTTCTGATGTTGACAGAGTACGTAAAACAAAGCTTTACGTGCGGTGTATACAGTACTCGGTACCGTGATGTACAGAATGAGATAGTCTCTCTAATGACCGTGATGGTGCATGATAACCAGCATTGCACCATGTTTGCCTACAGTCAAAATATGGCCATACCAAGGAGCCCTACACCGGCATACCTAGTGGTCTGTGTAGGGCTCCCCCCCCCCCCCCCCCCCCCCTACACCGAAGCAGCGCTACAGGCTACAGCACAACAAGGCACTCACCTCCCACAAGACCGCCTCTCCTGCCCACCCCTGCAACACCACCGCTGACAACAGTCAGTAGCTGGTCCACTACGAGCCCACCATGCTGCTCGGACAGCACCCGCTAAACGCACCTCACCCGCTAAGCGCACCTCACCCTCACCCAATAAGCGTTCCCCATCCCCGTCCGCTTTTAAGCGGAAAACGTCAATCCCCGCCACCGAAGATCCAGAAGGCACAGTTTCCCGAGCCTGACGCTACCATGACTGATGTACCCCCGGATCGCTACGTCTACTGACCTTACGCCCGGATCGCCACCTGCTGTTTCTACCACATTGTACTAGGGAACCAAGCTCTCCGCAAGTACAAGACCTGATGAGACTTAAAAATTACCGATTCGGATTCGGATCTATTGACTGATATCGTCTAACTTAGTGTTTCTTTTCTTTCTTCATGTGATAATTGCCTTGCGTTTTCTTCCTGTTTGCTCCTATGCATGTCCTTTCTTATGAGTCATGATATGAGTCATGACTGGTATCGCTTTGCATGTGGATATGCACCCACGAAGGGGAGGGCTGTGTTTTTTAATAGGACTGGTGGATGTGGCATGTACATGTGTACATGTGTACATGACTTGTAACGCCGGCCGCGCACCTTCTACCCTCTTTTGCATGCACTCATCCTCACTGAGTTCATGATTCATGTTCGCACACACTAGCTTGACCGTAGCAATACTTGTACACTGTTGACCTTTTAATGCATTAATGCACAACACGTTCACCCGCCGATCATGTATCTACACGTACAAAAATATGTAACAGCTATTGTCTACGAATCGGTTGCATGACTGCATTAGCTGAGAACTTATCTAAGATTAGATTCGAACTAGTGACCAGACCTTTCACCAGCTGCGTATTAGAACCTTCTCCTTATTGTCAGCCCTACCGCTACCGACTGAGAGGCTGAGCTAACAATATCGTGCTAGGCTCAGTGATTCATGGTATTATGTCCTCTTGTAATGGGTACATTGCGCTCTAGGCGTTTTTGTGGGAACAAGTAACCATGTGTTGCCATGGTGACAATGCACGTCCATAATTATGTCACGCCAGCTGACAGTACAGACGTAGAATACCATACATTGTAGTAATTATTTTATGACTCCTGGCCGACAGTGACTTACACGGACACTGGCACGCGCAAAAAGATCAGTCAAATACACCGTGGCACACACCGCACAGCCCCCCCCCCCCCCCCCCGCCAAACACCTACACATACCCGAACCCACATAACCCCCCCCCCCCCCCACACACACACGCACTTAGTCTTTTGCCCATCCACCCCCCCCCCCCACGCACTTTTGCCCATCCTCCCCCCCCCCCCCTAACACACACACACACACACACATGACTGTATGTACGTTACTGTCACACAACACCGGCACAGCTAGTCAGTAGATTCCAATATCAGCGAAGTAAACACCGGAGTTACTGTACAGACAGACAAACACACACATACAAAGCTGTACAGACAGACAGACGCACACACACACACAAATGAAAAAGTGGCAGCACTAAAAGAGCTGGTGCCTAAAGATCAAACTGGCTGCATGACTAACACAGGACTAGTGGGTCATAACAGGAAGAACATAAAAAAAAGAAAAAGCTATAAGTGGGCACACTACATGACATGGCATGCTCTCTCGCACGCCCAAGGTATTATGCTCTGCTGCACAACCATGCCATGGGCAGACTGGCAACAGATTGCTGGGCAGTATGCCGCGGGCATATCTATGAACAAAAGGGACAAGCCACTAGGCATATCTATATGGGCCTATGATCGACACAACCAGGACTGTAGACACATCCAGACAGTTCATAGTGAGAGCAAGACACTACACAAATAGTACAAATAGTACAAAAACATAGTACA